CCGCTCCAATCTTATGCTAGCCCTCCCCGGGCTTCACTCTTGCGAGCTGGCCCTCCCTGGGGCCTATGCCACGCGCTTCCCATGCTCGCCCTCGCTGGGGCCTGTGTCCGCACCTCTCACGCTCTGGCCCTCGCTGTGGCCTGTGTCCGCACCTCTCGCGCTCTGGCCCTCGCTGGGGCCTGTCCCGTGCCAAACCGCACCCGGGGCTCAGGTGGCACACAGCCGTGCCTGCCCCCCGACCCTTCTCGGGGTCCTTATGCCACGCACCTCTCGTGCTCTTGCCCTCGCTGGGGCCTGTGTCCGCGCTACTCGCGCCCGTGCTCTCTCCAAGCCTGTCCCGCGCTACTCGCGCCCGTGGCTTTCTCCGAGCCTGCACGCCAGCCCTGTCTCGGGCTTTCACCGGCGCCGGGGCTCAGGTGGCACACAGCCGTGCCTGGCCCCCTGACCCTTCTCGGGGTCCTATGCCCTCACTGGGCCGAGTACCGCCCTCACGGGCTGGGATCTCAACCCCACACCCCGCACCATACCAGTGCCAAGCCGCCGTGCCTTCAGGCACTGCTCTGTGCCCCAAACAGGGCACCCAGGAACCCCCAGACTACTGGGGAGCTCCCGTGAGGCCTCCTCACACCCCTACAGCCTCACCCGGTCCTCCAGTCATATACACAACAGAACCATAAGCCATCCGGCTGTAACAAAACAATAAGCCTACCAGCTATAACAAAACAATAAGCCTACCAGCCACATAAAGTCCAGGCCCTCCTGGCTCTCTGGCCAAAGCCTCCCGGTCAGGCTTCTCTCCACCTTCACCATAATGCAGCTCTCTGGGTGCTCAGGCTGCACTGCTCGGCTTAGCTTTCCTGCAGAGCTCTTACCCCTCAAGCTGCCAGAAGGGAACTCCTAGCCAGGCTCCGGCCTGGCTGTCTATAAGGGCCCGGCCCTGCCCCCTTCTGGTCACCTGACCCACCTGGTTGCTCCAGCAACCAGCAGCTGAGCTGCCCTGGTGATTGGCAGCTGTTCTTTACCCTTTTCTAGGCACAAGGTCACGTAGGTGCCTTGTGACATATATACCAGTGATTCTCAACCAGGGTGATGCCTCATCATGAGGTGCCATGAGATCCTTTTAAGGGTGTTAACAAATAATATAAGCACTGCTATGTGTGCAGAAGCCTACACATGATTCACAAGATAAACCCAGAAATTTCAAACAGAAATCCATAATACCTCATTAATTATATTAGTTACATGTGTTTTTCCATTTTGTTAAAAAATTATTTCCAGTCATATTAGTTTTATGCACTGTAATAAATTAGTTTTTGAAATGGTGTCCCACTAAATTCAAAATAGTTATGGAGGGGTGTCTTGAGTCTAAATAGTTTAAGAATCATTGGTCTTAGAGACTCAGGTGGTGTACAGATGCTTATTTCTACCAGAAGAAATTTATTCTAGTAGAAAAACAGCCCAGGAGCTGGACTGTGCAGATGTTCCTCCAGTTTGACACTGAAGAGTTTCACAGGCAAACTCTCCAGCCATCAGGCAGAAGTGGGTTGCTCTCTGGACCATACCCTTATGGAAGCCCATTAATTGACAGCCTGCCTTCTCCTCTGCCTATGAAGAAGGCAGGCTGTCAGGTGGCAGATAACAGCTCCTGAAATACAGGTCCCCAGAAGAATGCCATAGATGGCCAGGGAGAGTTTGGGCCCCAGACGAATACCCCCCCATCACACCAATCAGATGACTGGCAGAGTGGGGCATACTCCTGTGGTACCCTTCCAATTCCTCCCCCACACCTCCTCACAGAAGAATGCATTTCTTGCACTACTCCAGGCTGACCCAGAGGAGTGCAGGGACTTGACAGAGGTGGGAGGCACTCACCTGCTGTGATAAGGCTTTGATGCAGGGGCATGGTAAGCTTGCTTTTTCCTGCACTCCTCCAGGCTGACCCAGAGCAATGCATGGAGAGGCAGGATCATTTCCCTATGGCAGTAAGGCTCCTGAGTCACTCAGGCAGTGTGGGCAGAAAGGAGAAGCCAGAGGGGCTGGAAGCCAGGTGTGTGGAGGCTTTCCCCAAGCCAGACTCCTAGTCCTTTCAGTCTTTAAATCAACACCACTTCACAGCTGAGTGGTGGGTGGAGGGAAGGTTAGGGGAAGCTAGCATGACTCAGAGCTGGACTTACAAGCCTGGCTGCCAGGTACACTGACTTTTCAATCACTATCCCTGGGGACCTCTACACATGCAGAGGTCAGAGTAAACTAATTAACTTCACTGCAAAGTATGCGGAGACAGTGACTGGGGCTGGCTGGGGCACAAGGGTGCTACAGTACAGGGTTGCTTGCCAGCTAGCCATGCACTGTAGCACCCTTGTGCCCTACCCAGCCCCTCTGCAGCACAATGAGCCAGGGTGGAGCAGCTCTGGGATGGCAGGCTGATCCCCCAGGGCCCCTTGCCAGCTGGGGCTGTGCTGTCCTGAATCAATGTACTGCTCATGTAAATCAATGTGTAAATGCTGTGCTTGGGAGCAATAAACTCTGGCACAAACTGCACCGCAGTTTATTCAGGTGCACTAATTGCATGTGTAGATGTGGCCCCTGTCACTCAGATGAGCAGCAGGAGGGGCAAAGGGAAGCAGGCAGGAAGCAATGTTTCCTGTGCTGGGGAGTGCTGCTCCCTGCCTCCTACCCTTTGCCCCATGCTGTTCAGCTGGGCATCGGGGGTGGTGATGTAAAAGCTGGAGAAGCCTGGAATCCAGCTTATGGAGCTTCACCACCATGGGATAATGTACCTGTCTTGCTCAGAGTTGGAACAGCAGAGTGAGAAGCAGGTGCGAATCAGCTGGAGCCTGCTCTTTCCCTCCCCTATGGGCTGGAGGAAGAGAAGCTTCCCCCTGCATCTTTTGCAGATTGGTGATCCTGGTCTTGGGAAGACATGGAAGCCTTTTCCCTGGCTTCACTTCCTCTGATCCCAGGAAGAGTTAAGACAGAGAAAAGTGTGCAGACATTCAGGGTGTTTTTACATGTGCTTGGGCGGCTCCAAGAGCTGCTCTAATTAAAGCAACCATAGTATCTTGTGTATCAGTGTCGATGCACATCCAAATGGCGGTGGGGGTGCTTTAACTAAAGCTTGTTTGATGTGCCTTAGTTAAAGTGCTGCCCCCAGCCATTTGGAAATGCGGGGACACCAATACACAAGATGTGGAGGCTGCTGCAGGCGCACTAATTAGCATGCTCCAGCAGACTTGATTGAGTCTACTCTGATGTGCAGATTAGAGCAACCTCCTCGCACATCTACAGGCACCCTCAGTCTCTCAGAAGCAACTTAACCCTGGTTGCTTCTGAGTCCTTTTTTCTCAAACTGGCCATTTTTTGCTTCAGGGGAAAAAGCTTGAAAGTCTGCACACTTAGGCTTTTTAGTAGGAAACAGTAACAGAAATTGAACATCTGTATGTGCCTTCAGATAACTAAAGGAGATGTACTGGAAACAGTTTGATCTAATAACCATATGAAGGTAAAAAAAGACCTGATTGTCAATATACAGTAGTAGTTAAAAATGCAGGTAGTATACAACAATGTTGCCAGTAGTATGCAACATTGAAACTACAATATACAGTAGTAGTTGCAACGTTAGGATACAAAAAGGACACGAAAGAAAATACAGAAATGATTATACTGCCATTATATAATTGTTACATTTTCATTTGGACTATTCTGTTTAGTTCTGATCAAAAGCATTTTATAAAGGAAGTAGAAAAATCGAAGGATTTTGGAGCAGGGGACAAGAATAATCAGCAACACATAAAATCTCTTATATGAAAAGTGACAAGACTGGAACTATTTCTTTTAATGAAGAGATGAATAAGAGATGACATAAAAATAAATGAAAATGGATTAAGTTAAAAATGTATACTGGAACTTTCCCTCACTATTTCTGGTGACAAGAAATATTCAATGGACTTGGGAAGTAGCAAATTCTAGACTAATAAAACTAGTATATACTTTTCCAGTCACCCTGCAGACCTTGTCAGGTATTACTGAAACCAAGATCCTATCAGGATTCAAGGGGGTCACACTTTTATTTGAACAATAAAAATAGTTATAATCATAAACATAAGTCAAAATAAAAATACTCTGAAGAGATTTTTAAAGTATAATAAAAATTATTAAATAAACCTGTAATTGTGGGCACTATGAAGAATTTTTTTCCAGAAACAGATGTAGTTAAATAGTTGCTACATGGCAAGTCTCCATGTGCTATTAAGGTTATAAAGGGTTACTGTACAGTAACATGCTGCACACTAGCCTTCCCTGAGAGCATGTCTACACATGTTCCTTTTTGGGAGCAAATCTGCTCCCAATTGGAGCAACCCAGTATAGGGCTGCTCCGATTGGGAGCAGATTAACTGGGACCAGGGTGGGCTGTTCCTACCCTGCTCTGGCAATCAGGGAGAGCTCCAGGTTCCCCCAGGGTGCTAGCCCAGGGCCTGACAGGGATCACAGGGCTGGTCCCCATGCACAGAGAGCCAGGAGACCTCTGCCAGGTTCAGCAGTAGCTGTCTCCTTGCCACATACCCATGGGGAAGGGTCCAGATGTGCACAGAGCTAAGAGATAGCTGCCACTGCAGAACTCTCCTGGCCCCATGCAAATAGGGACAAGCCCCATGACCAGTGGAGCTTCCCTGTGCAGCCCACGGCTGGCCAAGAGCTCTCCTGCTTCTGGGGCAGTTCCTAGTCAGCTCCGGACTGTGTGGGGATTTCCTCAAGCAGCCAGGAACTGTCCCAGAGCTGTCCCCCTTGTAGGGCAGCTCCCAGCCAGCTCGGGGCTGCGTGGGGATTTACCTGAGTAGCTCGAAGTTGGTCAGGAACTGTCCCTTCTACGGCAGCTCCCAACCAGTCCAGGCTGCACACAGATTTCCCCGAGCCGCCTGAGGCTGGTCAGGAACTGTTCTTTTTGGGGCAGCTCCCAGCCAGCTCCAGGCTCTGCAGATTTCCTTGAGCAGCCTAGGGCTAGCTGGGAACTGTCCCCGCATAGCCTGGGGCTAGCTGGGAACTGTTCTCCTTCTCAGGCAGCTCCCAACTGCATGGGGATTTCCTTAAGCAGCCCAGGGCTGGCCAGATGCAAGAACTGTCCCTTCTGAGGAAATCCCTTCTGCCCCCCTCCCTAATCCAGAGTCTCAGGAGCTCCCTGCTTTCCCACACAGCCAGGGGCTGGCCAAGAGCTGTCTGCCTTCTGGGGCAGCTCCCAGCCAGCTCCAGGGTGCACGTGGAATTCCCCAAGCAGCCCAGGGCTGGCTGGGAACTGTCCCCAATCTGGGGGCAACCTTAACTACATATTCTCTCAGTAAACTTATTCTGAGGACAGGAAAAGTCAGCTACTCCACCGAGAGAGAAATTTCTGCAAAGAGAAACAAACTTGGCACCTATCTGTATAAACCTGGGGAGCGACGCGGGGGGTGGGGAGAGGAGTGTGCAAATTCTTGGATGCCGATGACCCAGTATTATGCTTCCAGCAGACTAACTCATCTCTCAAATGTGGGCTTTTAATTATGAAAGCTTGCTATGTCAGGTTTGTATCAGACCTCGACATTTTATGTTGATCTTAAGAGAACTTTCTGGTTCTTTTGAATGAATTAGCTGTGGAATATCATTGACATAATTATAGTAGTACATGGAAACATATCATTAGCATAAGCAATTATCTCATTTATCAACTTAATCATGCTGTGTTATGTTTTATAATTCCTTACTGATAGCTCAGGTTTCAACATACATTTTTTTTAAAATACAGTAGCAAGTATGTTTTTATATTTTAGATTTTGCACACTAATTTAATGATGTGTTAAGGGAACAATTTTTTGTTTTGAATTACCTATGAGTTAAGCACATTTTTCTCCTGAAACATCATTTTGCAATTCAATGTGTTTCTGAGAACTAAACACTGAAATGTAATAATTAAAAGTGTAATAATAAACAGACTTAGATAACCAGCCTGTATGATTAAAAATAATAAGAAATAAACTATTCACTGTGCGAAAGTTAACAATTCTATTATAAATAATTATAATGCATCTAATGTATTGCTATTCAAAGGAATACATTTTCCTGCAAACAAAAAAACCTCTGGTTCCCAATTAACTCAAAGGGAAAATTCCATTTTACTTAAAATGAGAGAAGCTTGGGACCTACATTTCAACATAATGAACAGCATACTCATAGTATTTCTTAATGACAAATTAATATTTATTTGACAAGCACTGTACAATTCCAGATATCATGGCAATGCATGTTCTGGAGAAATTAAAATCTAAAAGACATTCAAGATCAAGTAAAAGGAATTATCTTATGTATTTTCCCCTTCCATTTGTGTTTTAAAAAAAAAAAAAGAGTGCTATGTGAGCCCTCTAGTCTTACTTTCTCTCGATTTTCAGATCTGGTTGGCATTCCTTTAAAAAAAAATCCTAATAATAAACCCAGGAACTGATGATAAACAATACAGAACTCTAATGAAGCTTATCAACTTAAAATATTATTTCAAAAATGTTTTTCTGTTTGACCATTATCTGAACATATACTAGATCACGATAATGCCATGCTATATATGTTTAAAACCAATAGTGCCCAAACTTTCAGCCGCATGGGCCTGACAAGTGACACTGGTTTGGTCTGTGAGTCCCACCTATGTGGGGCCATTGTGCAAGTGTGATCCAGTGCACCAGCCTGACCTCACATGCCTGATCCAGCCACACGCTGGCCCAAACCCCAATACCCAAATCTCACAGCAGAGCAGTGGTGCAATTTAGTGCACAAGGCCAAGTTATCCAACCCATGGTGCTCCACAGGTCTGGAAATTTGAGAGCAGGGGAGCAGCAATTAATGCTGCCACTGCCCTCTTGCCACCAAATTTCTGGACCCGCAGGGAGGTCCAAGGGCTGGATGACACAACTCTGTCGGCCCGATCTGGCCTGCAGGTTGGAGGCTGAACACCACTGCTTTAAACAAAGCATTATTTCTAAATGTCATCCAATATTCAAGAGTAAAATATAGATACTTACCTAAAACATCGAGTCCAAGCGTTTTTGCTAGGTCTCTTACACCATCTGCGCCAAAAATATGGGTCTCGTGTTTACATTTTGGACACTGGAAAACACTCATATTTTGGACAAGTCCCAAAACCTGTTAAAAAAAGTGTTCAAATTCTGGAGTCTGTATCAAGTGATACTTTATCTTACCTGAAATGAAAGAATGCCTTGAGCAAAATATCTAAAAAAACATTTCTTTAAAATTCATATTAAACAGACTTAGTCTTACTATGATGCCTAGATTACTGGATCATCAACTAATAACTTCATTACCCTTCTATTTGATCTCTATTTTAAAAATAATTATGCATGACTAATTTCACACATTTTCCATTTATTGTAGGATTGCTGCCTTTCAGATCAAGATTATCAAACTTATTATTTGCAAAACATTTCCAAGCAAAGTTCCAAATTATAATACTTAACTTCTAGTCATCATTTCATGACATCTCAGTAAAAGGTTTATCATATGATATAACTTTTAACACTGGAGGTTTACTGTGTTGTTTTATAGTCTTATAGTTTCCAGTTTCATGTCCCAAGCCATATAAATAAAACATACCATTACGAGAGGTGTCACCATTAGACCTAATTTTTAAAAGACTTTTTATCTAGCTTCACCTCAGGGAAATGTCTTCAAAACAAGAACCCAGATTTGCTATTCTCTCTGAAGAGCAGAGAGACATTTAAAGATCAAACAACAGAAATAATTATGAGAGAAAAAGGGGCAAAAACAGAAGGATAAAAATCTAATAGATGCATATTAGGTATCTTTTTTTCAGCTACTGAACTCTGGAAACTTTGCCAGATTGTATCTACTCTTCATGCTTTAGAGTAATGGTTATGATATAAGTAATAGTCAATTATTCTGTCATATAAAGCTGTGTGTTGGGATGAGCTGAATTTTGCAAAACCATTAGAAACAAGAAATGATAAACAAACAATGCATTTTAAAAGCTCTTGTGATTTATTAATCAATAAAAATCTTTATAAATACCACTTCCTGTTAGGCAGTCTAGTGTTATTTATTGTCTATTTAAATAAATATATAAAATAAAACATATATAAAAAATAGTTACATGTTCTATAGTCAACATTTACAAATCTGGGACTGAAGTTTTCAAGGTACACAAGGCAACTGTAAGCCTAACTGCCCTTTCTGCCTTTAAAAAATTCCCCTTAATAGTTTAAAGCTTGTTACTTAAAGTGGCCTGTTTTTCAGAAGTGGCATGAGTCCAAATTCCACTGATGTTAATGAGAGCTGTGTTTAGAAAACTTATTATAAGTTCCCACTTTTGGCAACTAAGATAGGTGAAAATATATTTTTACTTTACCAGCACATAAAAGAAGTACCTCTGGTATAGTTGAATGCAACTGACTTCAATAAGAAAAAGAAATAGTTTTGGTGTTCTGGCTCTTCTATATCTTCATTTGGTATTCAATACTACTATCTGAGAAGTGCAGGTTTACTTATTTACAGCTTTCAGGGAACTGAAATCAGGACAGGTTTTCACACTCGCCTCTGGAGTGAAAGGCAAGATCATTTTGCAGTGGGAGACATGAGAGAGGACAAGAGAGCACTTTGTATACTCTGTAAACCCAGCTCTATTAATGGACTCTGACGTAAGTTCCATCAAGTCCTGCTTAATTTGTGACATGGAAATAAATCAAAGGAGCATCCTTTGGCATTTCCCATGGGGAAAGGGTGTTTTAATTAAGATACTCCACACATCATAAAAAAGAAAACTTAAATTTGTATCACAATGAACTCACTCCTCTTTAGATACCTTGATTTTTAAACTTTAGTATTTTCCCTCAAAGTAACTGCATGTATTTTTAAAAAAGAAAATTCATGATTGTAGAAAAGCAATATAGTCATACATTGTTTTGTAAACAGCATAAACATTTGCAAACTGCTTGTAAAAACTATTTTCTTAGTCCTTTGATAACAAGACCATCAGAAAAATTATTTGGGTCACAGTTTTATTAACACCAGACTGTGAAGATGTAGCTGGATCCTCTATAATAAATCATACTTTCTTAATTTCTTATTGACACTATTTTCTGATTTTCCTTCAACTAGTCTTACTAAAAGTAAATGGCACATCAGTATTACAGACCCATTCTTACATTCCTTCTGCATTGTTCTCACCTATTATCCATCTAGAAGTAGACTTTTATTAACGTATAAATGACTCTCCATCTGTGTGCAGTATTTCATGGAAACCATTAAGCTCATTTTCAATTTTCTGCCTCCGTTGGTATTTCATGTCCAAACTGATGAAATTATTAATTAAGCTATTATTATTATTATCCTTAGGAGAAATCACAAAGATGTTTGTTTGAGTTACCATGTGCATCAAACAATGTAGATGCTATTGTGGGTTAAAAATTCCCTCTGGCTAAAATTTGTTTTTCAAAGTACTAATCTATAGTGGACAAATTCTGTAAATTTTGAAACAATATTAATAATGAATTTGAATAGCCTCAGCCCAAAACATAGTCTTTAAAATTGTGTCTTTTTTTTCACTTAAAAGTCAGATGTTTTTCTAACAAATCAAGTTAGTTCGCTAGTTTATATTTTGCAGTAATCAACATAACTATCAAATTAAAACTATCACAATAAGTATCAACCCTAAGCAAGCGAATTATAAGCGAACAGGTTTTAGCATTAAAATGTATCTGTTAATATGCATTAGTCTTTTTGTTTGACAATCCCTTGCAGTTGAGAATGACTGTCTTCCATAATTGTCTTATCTGTGTGTCCAAAGATGGCTGATGAGACCTATCTGGGATCGACAGACTCTACTGCAGCTCTGTCCATGTGGGCTGGGTGGTACCGGATTCTTGATTTGGTCTGCAACATGCTGTTTCTACCACTCCCACTTTCTTTTCTCCTGTTCTTGTTGTGAGGTTTCAAAGTACTGGGATCCCCACACCAGACCCTTCCTCCATTTGGGCTGGTCCTAGGTGATAGTGTCCTAGGAGTTGACATCAATATTGTATTTTTTTAAGTTGGCCTTGAGGAAGTCCCTGAAGTGCTTTCTCTGCCCTCTCCTTTAGTGTAAACCATGGCTGAGCTGGGAGAATAAATCTTGCTTCGGGAGTCTACAGTTGGACATCCAGATAACATGGCCGGTCCAACAAAGTTGATGTTGGATGATCATCACCTCAGTACTCATGGTGTTTGCTTGCAGGAGGATGCTAATGTTAGTGCACCTGTCTTACCACTGGATTTAGAGGATCTTCCACACGCAGATGGTACTTCTCTAACAACTTTAGATGTCTCCAGTACATTGTCCATGTCTCAGCTCTGTACAGCAAGGTGGGAATCACAACTGCTTGGTAAACCATGAGCTTTGTTAGGAAGATGCCTGTATATCAGGGCAGTGGGAATGTTCGGTCTCCAATTTGATTCAGTGGAGATTTGGCCTGATTCAGTGGCCGAGTCTCCAAATCCAAATCAAATAAGGAGACCCTTTAATGCTGCTGAAGCAAATCAGAACCCTCTAAATTGATTTGGAGAGATTAGGAAAGATTCAGCAATTTGGCCATAGAAACAGCTTTAAATGTTTTTTCTACATACCTCAAGGTACCAGGCAGCTCATGAATGCTGCAATGGTGGGGCAGATGGAATGTCCCACAGGAGTGCAGGGGGGGGCTCCACAGCACACTCGGTAGCAGACTCAGAAGTGGACCAGAAGAACTTCTGGTCCACTTCTGGGTCCTCCAGGGAGCACACAGGGGCCCTCCCACACTCCCCCAGCTTGGTGACTGGGTCTGGAGAGGCACGTGGGGTCCCACCATGGCTGATCACTGAACCATGGGGGTGCAGGGGGGTCCCCTGAGCACTCGGTGGCAGACCTTGGGTTCACTGCCGAGCACGTGGGGGGCCCCCCTGTGTTCCTGTGGGGCCCCCCTCCATTCCATCCACCCTAGCATTGCAGCCTTCATGAGCCACGCCGGGTACCTTGAGGTATATAGAAAAAACATTTAAAACTCCATTTACGGCTGAATCACTGATTCTCTGAATTAGCATCAAATCTTCAGATTCGGATTCAGCCAAATCGAATCGGGGACAGTGATCCAAATCAACTAATCAAATCACTGTCCCCAATTCGGGCTGAATCCGAATCGAATATGGCCCGCTTTGCACACCCCTACTGTATATGACTTCTTTTATTATGGAGAAGCTGCTGCACAACACCTTCCACATGGCTTTTGACAGAATGGGACCCTGATCCAATGGCAAGGAGACTAAGACAACTGAGAATCTTTTTCTGCTGCAGCCTTCAGCCGCCTTCACAGCCATTAAAATTCTAACATCCTCTTCTATTTGCTCCACCATTGAGGACTTGTAGACCCATAGCTGGTGACTAGCAACCTATACTCACCATGTCACAGCACCACCAAAGATATATGTGGCTTTTCAGGAGGGGGAACCATTGCCATCTGCTGTCCTCACCACATTCTGGTTGTGCTTCCGCTGCTTGGTCCATGACTGATTATATGTCAGTTATCCCTGCTTATTTCACTGTTAACCTTCCCTGAAGGTCATTCCACTTTGCACAACTTGTGGACATGCTGGGTAGCAGTACAGCTCTGCCCCACAGTATGCATTACTGAACACATACTGACAGAAAGACCGTAGGATTTCATGATTACTCCTAGAGTTTTTAAATCTGTGGACTGAAAATAATAGATCTTACTAATAATGAATGTAATACCTCTCATTGCCTTGTTCAAATAACACAACAAAGCAGTAAAGGAACTATTAAACTATACATAAATATCCCACGAGTATGTACAAACTTAGTTCTGCTTCTTAGTCCTTTGTGAGGTAAGCTTCACCATGCATGCTTAGCAAATCTAACTAACAGAAGATGTGGAAGCTAGTGTGAATTACATATTTCCAAAACATAAATAGTTTCAGTTTCATAGATGTAGGGTTGGAAGGGACCTAAGTAGATCATCAAGTCTGACACCCTGCCCTGGGTAGGAATGAATACTGGGGTTATATAACCCCTGGTAGGTTTGAGCTCATGTGACCCCAGCTAGGTAATTATCGAGCCTCCTCTTAAAGACCCCCAAGGT